GATTAATTATTTGGGCCGCCCGCCTGCGTTTGGCTGCTTAACCCACAGCCACGTGCCGCTTATCAGCTGAAGTGTTCAAACTGTGTGAAATGAAAAAGAGGGATGAGCGCCACTTCTTCTCATTTTCACACCGTCACTGCCTGCGTTTATCGCAACCGGAAATGTTTCCTAAGAGACGCAAGCTCAAGTGAGCGTAGTGGCGTTTGTTCAGACATCTGACAGACAGTGTGCAGCAACAGTGGGGGGCTGGGGGCGGGGGGCGGGAACGGACCACGGAGCCAGTCAGAACTCTGGTAACTTTCTTTGGCGTCTCATCAATGGGCTTTAAACGTAGAAACGGCATGAAGAAGCATTTGAGCAAACAGTTTGACGTGGAAAGTGCAGCTTTGAACACATACAAAAGGTTGAATGAAGCCCTTTAACATCGAGACCAACATATTTACCGTTTGTCCATGCCATCTCAGAAATTCTGCCAACCGGCTGGCAATTAGTGATCGATCACATTTAGTAAACTTTTAATGTGCCAAACTTCCTTATTCCTTCTGTTTCATCCTTACCCACGGTTAATTATAACGTGTTGATTCTACACATCCCCTCCTTCCTCACCCCGACAAAGCAACACAGAGGACTTGAAGCCTCTCCAGGCTGACACACATTAGTTTAGTGTTGGCTCTTATTCTCCAACCAGCTCGGATGAAGCTCAGCTTAATTTGTGTCAGTGTGGGCTTATTAGACGGAGAAACTTGATTGAAGCGGCTCCGGTTCTGATAGAGGAGGCGATAAGAGGAATGAGCAGTCTACTTGAGCGCAGGTACCCGACAGCTGATAAGGGAAATCTACAGCCTAGTTTACAAGAATTTTTTTTTATTGTGGTCATGCTTAAAAAAAAGCATGACCACAAAGCATATTTGGATTGGAGTTGGAAAGAAAATACGTGCTCTTCAACAGTCGTAGATCTCGTAAGGACTGTTTGAATGATTCTCTCAAAATCGCATGCGCTAATTGTAATCGCTAACGCCTAGCTATAGCATACAAAGAAATGCAAGCTCAAGAGATAATGAAAGAAAGAAAAAAAGGATTACGTTTTAAGTGATCGAAAAAGTATGCTTCTTCTTTGTGTGAATTTGAAGCTAGCCTACTTCAGGCTAAGAGCAGATGCCAAACAGCAGGCCTTCAGCGTGGATGAGTAGCCGGGATTCAGGACCTAGACAATTCCCCAAATCAGCCCTTTGCACTAATTAGCAGTGACAGGTGAAAGCAGCCAGAGATTCCACAATGGAGCAGACAAATGCATAAACACACTCAACCATAAGCCACAGAGACACCCATACAAACATAAACACACATATGTCAAGGCGCAGCGGCTGCTGCGGAGGATCTACGAGAGCGGCTAACGCCACGTTAAAACCCATTAAGCACCAAGACATCCCCTGCTCCACGTACGCAGCCCGGATCCTGCTTCCCCTGCACTGATACCGCTGATCCCCCCACCCCACTCCGTGCTTTGACAAGGCGTAATAAAGCCTGTATGAAGTGCCGCATTGTGTGGGGAGAACACAATGTTGCATGCTGAGTGCTGTGAGAAGGGCGTACACCGGTGGGTCCCACGGCGCTGCATAGCACCGGGGCCTATAGCAAGGAGTGCCGAGCATGCTAATGAGGTCATTATGTTATGCCTCACCCTCTGCTTCTGCTTCTCCTTTACAGTGTGGGCTTTTTGCCTGTCACAGGAGGCAGGGCACCCTTGTGATGCAGCCAACCACAGATGTCACATATGGCACAATGAGGAGACACAGGAGCGTAGTCTCAGACGGAGGCGAGGTGCTGCTGCGTTTTTCAAGCTAGCATCCAAAGCGCTGGAGCAGCATCGGTGATTTGCATGCACAATAAGGTGAGCTTAAAGGGGGAAAAAAAAAAAAAATATCAAAAGCAGAGTAACAACATTCATTTGCTAATTGTTCCCGCTGTGTATTCAATCAGCAATCGGCCAGGGTTGCGTTTTCTTTCATTCCTTTCTACGCTCCCGCCATTATTTACAGCCGAGGGGGAGGGGTTAAGTATCTCGCACATGCAAAAAGCAATTACAAGATATTTGCATAGCCGTTAACAATCACGGGGCAGATGGCAAACAGCGGGCATTAGAAAAGGCGAGCGAGCGCCATCTTGGCTCGGGGAGACAGCAGCTGGCAGACAAGAAATCGGCCATTTTGTAAGCATGGGCCGCTGCCAGGCTGAGGCGTAGCGAGGCGCCAGGCTCTATCTGTGTGCCAGGAGATTGGCAGGAGAGGGGGAAATCGAGCTTTCATATCCTCCCTGGTACACGCAACCAGAACAAGCTCCTCCGACAGGCTGTGTGACAGCGCGATCATAGCCCAGGGCTCACTGAGGAGATCAGCTACAACACGAGGTGTCTGCTTTAACTTTAAATAGACACATTCCCCTTTAGGCAGGAATAATATTCCCTAATAACACACCCGGAAAGGAGCTAAACATTCATTTCTGTTCACAGCGTTCCTACGCGGTTCACACTTCCATACTTTTCCTGGCTTGCATTTCAGTGTGCTGGACATTCAAGTGCAAAACGTTGACTTAGTTGGGTTTTGTTAATTGTATTTTCCACAAGTAGTGAAAAAAAAACACAAGGAATCATGTTGGCTCTCAGTTCAGCAGAGTGGTAAAGTGAACTGATTTTAAAAAGCTATAACTTGGCTGGACTTGATTATCCTACTCTAAGTTTAGGTAATGCTTTTATTCTGTGTGGTAATGTAAAAAGAGAGCAGCGCAAAGCTTGTCTTAAATATAAAAGGAGCCAATTTAACCCTAGAAAACTTTACTTACAGTTTTATTAAATACGTTTTACTGACGCCTCTGGACCTTTCCTTAAAAACACGTATTAGATTGTTTGCTTGTTGTACGCGTTGTGGTGATTGCCAACTTTGCCTAAAAATCCAAGATGGCTACTATGTACCTTTTATTACAGTACAAAGCCTTTTTTTTGTGAATATGTTACAGGAAGTACAATGGTAAAAATATTTTTTTTAAAGAAAGGAAATATTTAATAGTCATACAAAAAAATAATAACCTAAATAACATTCAATACTTTTACTGGACTTTTTCTGGAGTGGACATAGGATAAAAAATATAAATAATTGTTATTTTTTAATTATCTAGTAATAGTCATACCTTGAATAGTAACTCAGATATCTTTAAATCCTGAAGACGTACGGATCACTTATATCTTAGTTGCAGTGGTAAGTGTATCATGTTTAGTGAATTTCCAGGATTAAATTGTTCTTCAGCTACAAAGATAACACCAATAATAAAGTTAGAGCTTAATTTGAATAAATAAGATTATGTTTATGACTACTGCAAATTGGCAACATGGAAAAGTAGCAATATCACTAAATTATATACATGCACTGCTAAAATTTTTTTTATAAAATCTACAGTCGAAATTAGAGTTTTCTAAACATTATTTTACGCGTCACGTTTTAAATCGTCGAGAACCATTTCAAAACCCGGATCTGAGAGGCCTAAAAAGTGGTGAGACAGACGTCATGTCGCTGCGTTTCAACAACAAATGCGTAAATCAAAATAAAACTCTCTTCATAATTTTAAAAAATGTACATTTTACCTCTTTTATAAATAAGAATTATGTCTCCAATCTCAATTATATATACTTTTTACTGCCTGTAGAGACCAGGAAAATTATTTTTGCCAGACGTTTCGATACAGTGTAGAAACCCTGTGTACAATTATGCCATAAAAGGATACATCAAACTTATACTCACCGCAAATGTCAATCTGAAGAGAATATCTCCAGGTTTTTTTGGGGAAAAACCTCAATCCGGTCCTCAAGCATGTACAGCACAAACTCTAGAAGTGGAAGTTTAGTGAGGATGCGTCTTCCAGGTGCCAGGTGAAGGCGTTTCTCTGCTTTTGCTTTCCTACGCTGAGTAAGAACTTGGCTTTGCATATGCGGAGGAGGAACCAGTCTGTCAAACTAGTGTCCTTTTCACTTGAGCCCTCATTCAATTAGCAGTCATTCACCTGTGCTGTCACTGGATCCGTTCTGCACAGCAGTAAGTGGACTTCAGGTACAATCCACCCCCCGTTCACCCCAAGACACACACACACACGCACACACACACACACACACACACAGTGAGAGAAAGAGGTATGAAAGCCTGAACCCGCCTTTCTCTCTTCCACCTCACGGATCAATACTGCACTGCCATATCCTCTGAAGGGAGCTGCTGTTGTGCGGGTAAGAAAATCTAAGGCGAAAAGACAGCTTCTGCCTGATACAGTAGATGAGAGGAAAAAGTTCAAATTGTCCTTTCATCCGGCCTCATGAGATCTTAGGAATACCGCGCGCTATACGTGCTTGGAAACAGTGCTGAGCCGCGACGTCCTCCGTAGCATCCTCATTCAGAAAAGGTAAAGGTGGAATGACTAATTGGAGCGTGGGAGCCGGAAGGAAAGGGACCCCGACGTCACGGCTCGCTCTTCAGCCGCTTCCTTGTGTGTGTGTGTGTGTCTTTGGCAAAGTTTTATCAAGCGGAGTTGGAAAACCTCCAGCTGAACCACACACAAGGATAGTTTCTGTCTCTTTTCATTTTACTTTCCTGCGCACAAGTGTGCATGTTCTGGCAAACACACTGTGATTAGGGCAGCTGCAAGGTGAGGGCCTTGGCCCTGGCCGGTGCTGGAACTCCAGGAGAGAGACAGAAGGAGAGTTGGTAGATAGGAGCTAGGAGTGGTGGTGGTAGTGGTGGTGGTTGGTCCCTGGGCTCTGAGGCCTGCAGGCGGTGTTGGGCAACCTCTGCTCGCCTCTCTCCTCGGTATTGATTTCTGCTGCTCCGCGCTGCTCTGCTCTGCCGAGGAGACTCCTAGCCGGCGGGAACGAGAGCTCGGCTCACCCGGCTCACCTGCCTCTTTCCTGGCCTAGCCTGCCCACTTCGCTGCAGCTTTTGGCTGGCCCCCTGTTGGGTCTTCGGAACCCCAGTACAGAGCAACTTGGCCCACAAGAGGAAGTAGACAGAAAGCCCATGGCGATCCGCAGCTGCGTTCACCTGCTCTGGGTTCACCCGCTTCGAACAACCTCCTCAAACTGCTTCCATCCTCCTCTTCTTCCATAATTCCACCCACTCTGGCTTCTCTTTTCCCTCCTCCACCACCTCCTCCTCCTCCTCTTCTTCTTCTTCTTCTTCTTCTTCTCAAGCTGCACACAAACAAGCACAGACAGTGATGGAAAAGGAAACAAGTTAATCTCAACTTTCAGGATATTTCTTTCCCTCGCTCTAAGTGTCAGTTCTGGTCTTTGATCAGCAACAAGTCAAGGGTGAGGATTTTGGCATCTTCTCCCAGCTGGTAATATGAACCTGCTAACCTTAGAGGGTGGAAACTGCAGAGAGTTAAGTGTGTATGGCAGTAACATATTGCCTGCCAACGTACTCTCAGCCATTAGAGTCGATGTGCTGCAGATAGCAGAATACAGCGAGAGTGGGCCCATTATAAAAATCACTACTGCATCAATCGAACACATTAAAAGTGTGGTATTTACAGGAAAAGCGTTTCTTCAACAGCCACAGTCTTTTGCTCTCTTTCTGGACCACAGGCTAAAAGGTTAAATACTGCCCTGCAAAAGTGAGGAATTTGCTTACATTGCAAACAAAAACTTCAGCATATTTTGGGGAGATTTTGTTGCATAATTGTCCACATAATTCCGAGATCACTTTAAAAAAATAGAGTTCAGCTTACTGTGATTTAATCTCAGTACAGTTACGAATATTGACGCACCATCAGAATCAAGGAGACCAAGGGACACAGCAGACGAGGCTGTGAAGAAGTCTAAAGCAGGGTCAGCACGCGGCCTTTTGCGTAAACTGACAGGCCAGACAAGGAGAGCATTAAAGATGCATCTGCGAGGCCCCTGGTAGCTGTGGAGGAATTTCGGAGTTTGACAGCTCAGTTGGAAAAACCACGAGCTCCACAAATGTGTCCTCTCTTTCTAAGCTGTTGCTAAAGACGTGAAAAGTCATGATTGCCTCGGGTCACGCAAAGGACACAGCAAGCAAGAGGAAGAAGGTGCTCTGGTCAGATGAGACCAAAACTAAATGTTTTTTAATCTATCAGCTCGAAGCTCAGAATGTATGGTAAGCCTTAGTTTTTTTTTTTGTTTTTTTTTTCATAGTCGCTCTCTACAGTTTAACTGAATTTGGGATACTTTGCAACAACTGAATGGCTAAAACTTTCAGTTGTTCAGTTGGGGGAGACAAACCCCCAAAAAGACTTACAGCTGTCATTCCAGCAAAAGTTAGTCCACGAAGCTACTTGCTAAATACAAATGCTTGCCACTTTCGTCCATCTATTATCTATACCCGCTTGTCCTTGCATGAATGT